TAGATGCATTAATAGCCTAGAATTATAATGCGAATATATGCAGGTTGAAAATTATTTATAAGAGGCACAATCATCGCAACTTCTGGATCGTTTTTTTATTCCTGGAATAAGACATTTCTACGGAACCCTTTATTACCATACGTACTACTATCGATCCACGATTCACGAATATCTTCCATTTCATTCGTAACCGCATCCACTCCTCCAACTTCTCTCATCATCTTCGAAACGACGCGCATCGAAACGGGAGAAAAAAAAAAAACAATTCTTTCGAATTCATTTTCCATTCATTTTCACTCTTTAACCACACCTTTAATCCCCGACTCCTCCCTCCTAATCCTTACAACTATCACATCCCCTTACCCTCCACGCTCCACCATTTCTCCCCGCGCGAATCGAAACGCGCATCGAACAGAAACAACAGAAACTTTCCAAACTCTCCTCCTCTTCTTCGCCGATCTTCTTCCCTCTTCTGCCTCGACGAAATAAAGAAAGAAAGAAAGGAAGGAAGGAAGGAAGCATCTTTGCTCGCCGATAACATTGTTTCCAGTAGTTGTTGCGGGCAGAGTCGCGTGCGGATCAGATAAAAACGTGGGAGGAGAGGGGGGAGAGGAGGGGTATCTCTATCCGGCACGGGGTTGGAAAAATTTCGTCGGCGCGAGCAACGTCGGTGGTTCTCTTTCTCTCTCTCTCTCTCTCTGTCCTCCTCTTCGAAGTGCTTCTCGCGGCTTAATACGGATAGCGCTCGGTTGCCGCTCAGACGAGCCGTGGCGCGCTCCAAGAGAGAGTAATATTGATCGACGGAGTAGCGGGCTTACATCGTCCCAAGAGGGAGAGAGCAGCCGAAGGGAAGAGGGTGGCGAGCGCTCGAGGGTGGCAGAGAGAGAGGGAGAGGAAGAGAAAGAGAAAGAGTAGGAAGGGGAGAAGGGGTGGTTGGTGGTTGCTGGAGGGTCGAAGGGCCAACGCGCACAACCGTGGCCAAAGGGTGCTGCCTCTCTCTTTCTTTGTCTCTCCTTGTCTCTCCTCTTCCTGGACGCGTCCCGTTTTCTCCTTCTCTCTCTCTCTCTTTCTCTTTGCGTCCCTCGCTAGGTTTGTTTTGCACGCGACTTTTCGTGGAACCCAAAGTTCTTTGTAGTTACTTCGTTCGTCTCAAAGTTCCCTTTTGAGGGACCGTTTCTTCGCGCGATTTAATTTTTCCACCTTTTTTTTTTCTCTCTCTCTCTCTCTCTCTCTCTCCCTCCTCCTTATATCGTTCCGTCTCATTTACCACTCCCTTCCTGCCCCGCTATTATCTTCTCCAGTCTTTTAGATGTCCAAGTGACAAGATATATATTTGAGAAAGCGTGCGAGTAGATCGAAGAAAGTTCACGACACGACGAGTAAAAAATTCATGAAATATTCGTCATTGGAGAATTTCGAGACAGCACGTATATATATATATATATATTTCGGTTTTATTAGGACGAAACTTTCGTCATCTTTATTCGCCCGCTGGAAATTTGATAGTCTCGCGGCGAGGGTTGTCGGTCGGTTTGGAGGGGGAGGTCGAAGGGAGCGCGAGATTCTCCTCCGGGAAATGCCGCTCTGTTTCGTTCCAGTTCGCCCATCGCCGCGGAAGTAGACTTTTCTGGGAGAGCTCTTTCCCTTGGCCCAAGATTTACGAGCGTCGGTCCACGTTTCAGGGGCGGCGAATTTACGCGCGGAGCCCACGGTTTCGTTTGATGGTGGGGAAGTAAGTGTCTGTGCGTCGATCGCCCACTCCTCGTCGATTATTCGTCGTTACATTACGCGTGTCCATTCACCGTGATCGTTTTAAAGCTACGCGACCGATAATCGATTGATCTTTGTCGAATTTGTTCCCGCTGTGGGAGAAGACTTGGAACGATCCAGGATTTAAATAAATTTTTAAACGAATTATTACGAATTCTCTTATTTATCGTCGAAGAATAATCGAAGAATAATTCAATCTTTTCCACGTTCCACGAATAAATATTTGACGTAATTCGTTCGTCAAAGATAATTTTGGAATGATCTTTCTTAATTTTGGAAGTTTGCATTGGAAATGTAGCGGGCAAGGGGGAGGACAAAGAATAATTTTTGGAACGTTTTCTAGAACAAAGTTTTTCAGTACAACGAGAGAAAATTCTTTTCGTTATCCAAATATTTTATCTCTTTATTTAAATTAGAATCATCCGATTAATTTGAATCGAGGATAAAATGTTCGAGATCGATCGAATATTTATTTTTTTTTTTTTTTTTTTAGAATAAAACTTAAAAACAAAATATTTTTCCATCATTCCATTATTTCTATGTATACATTTCAATTTCTCAATTCCAGTTCAAAAATCTATTTAAAATAATTACACGAAACAAACAACTTTTCTCTAATCAATAAATTCACTTCGTTGGCAAGAAAAGAAAAATTCTTGAAAAAGTAATTTTATATAGCACGACTCTCGTTCCACATCAATCGTTAATTTTCACTCGAACAAACATCTGATTTACAATTCTCTACCATTACCACTACCGCACTCCATTCATCTTACGCGCTAATGCAAATTTACCCTTCCGATACGTTCAAATACTTGTGCATCTAATTCTCCTCTACCATCTCAAACACACGTATACGCACAAATTTTATCCGCAATCTCTCTCACGAATCCATGCATTCGTATCGAATGAATCAGCCCGATCTCGTCGCGAAAGAAACAACCGTTCCATTTTCAATAATCGTTACGAGACATTTAACCATCTGTTGCTCTAATTCCATCGTTCACCCTCCAATCCCTCTCGTTTAAAACTTCCAGATTGTCCAGGGATCCGATAATCCATGCCAGAAATTAGCCACGTTTCCTTCTGCGATATACACATTCGTACGTGTAAATGAATCGTCTAGTTTTCTTAAAAACAAATAATACTTTAAGTAATCCTTAGTTCTTTATATTAAGTTATCTATATTCTAATTTACGAAACCTCCGAAATTGGCCAAAGATCCATTGATCCGCGTTAGAATTTGATATTTTCTTTCGTGATGTAGTTTTCTCGAAAGCAAATCATTCGAATCTATCGATTTTCGTTCGGAGTAACAGCGGTTTTGAACGATAAACGTATTAAATTAATTATTACTTCTATTGATCCAAATTCGAATCTCACAATACCTTGGAGATCTTTCAAAGACGCAGCAACCAATCCCTGCCAAGAGTTAACCGCGTATCCTTCCGTGACCAGATACGCGATACTTTTATCGAGAATCTTGGTTCCCTCGAGAATGTTGCCGGCCCACATTCGAGTACAAGGTTGCAACCAGCTGCAACCACCTCATGCGGAAAACTATCTCACGCCTCTGCTTCCGATGACCCCCAGGCAACACGAGCGAAAACTTTTCAATCGAGTTTCTTCGCCACCCCCTCCTCTCGTTCCTTGTTTTTCTACTCTTGTCTCTCTCTCTCTCTCTCCCTTCTCCCCATCTCGAAGCTCGTCCTCTCGAAACCAACCACCCCCTTACGACTTTCAGCCGTGAAATTGTCGCGAGCGAGCGAGTTTCATCGAATTCGCGAATTAATTCGCTCCCCTTTGCCGCGTTACGATTCATTTGCTCCGTAAGTTGGCTTCGAGCTGTAACGAAGTTTGGGAAAATGGCGCGATAGGCCGAGGAAGATTGTTCCGAGAAGGAGGAGGAGGAGGAGGAGGAGGAGGAAGAGTTGGAAGTTGAGGGAAGAAGTAGAGGAATTGGGAATAGTTTCGAAGAGGAGAGGGAAGTTTTGGATACTTTGCACGGAATAGTCTTGTTTTTAAGGGTTGTACAACCCTCTCCAACATCCAATCCTTCTTCTTTCTTTCTCTTAATAAATTTGAGAATCGATCTGATGATAGTTCGACACGATGCTCGCTGTTCCTTGTCCCCTTTTTTTTTTTTTTACATTATTTTTATTCATATCGATCGAGTATTCTTTTATGTATGTGGTCTTTAACGATAGAATGGAACAGGATCGTTCAAAGAATCGACGATTCTTATATCTTACGTTTGATCTTTGATCTCTCTAACTTTCCCTTTCAATTAATTCGTTACTCGGTATATCAAGTATTTGTTCTCATGTATATATATATTATATACCGATTTAGAAGAAGAAAAAACCAGATCGATGAGTCGATCGATCCAAAGTATAACTATATCGAGAAAATCGAGCTCTAATATTACGTGTATTAGAGTAAATATACGTGGCCATGTATACTCCTTCTTTCTTTCTTTCTTTCTTTCTTTTTCTCTTTATCGATTAAATGTAACTCTTGTCGCAACTTTTGTTACTCCTATCCGTAACAGGACAGTTCCCTCGTCGATTCACAACACTTTTCGTTCGTGTACGCGCAAGCAAGCAAGCAAGCAAGCAAGCAAGCAAGCAATCGTTAGACGTTCTACGATTTTATCCCTTTTATCGCATCGAGTTCGGTAGACCGTATTTAATCGCAGGTGCATCGAAATCGAGTTCGGGCTATTATCCTGGCGATACGCGAATCAATCGGTCGATTGGATAATTGGTGACAGATTGGCGACAGCTTGGCAACAAGCGTAGGGCCCCGATGTCTGGTTCAATCGAGCGAGTTTAAAAATCGATGAAATTGTTTCTTATCGATGCGACGACCGGATGAAACTTTTACAACCGATCTGTAATCTGTCCTCCCTGGAACAGTTTCCGGAGAAAATGCGGGTTAATTTCTATCTAAGGTGAGAAACGTTTCGTGTAAATTTATTTATACGAAAAGTTTATGTTTCGAGGAAAATAAATATTTTCGATCGGTGATGTTTAACGATTCGAAGGATATTTTTATACGCGATAGGGTCGATCTATTAGTAATCGTGTACGAAGATAGAAGATGCACAGATGAATTATATATGTATATATATATAGAGTATAGAGAAATATAGAGTTGTGGATTGAAATTGAAATCGATCGAAGACGATTCCCATTCTGATCTAACGAAGAACTTTTCTCCGTTCACAGATCACATAAGCGACGTGTGCAAGAATAATTACATGCGAGATCTGTACAGGAAGATAGACGGGGCGGTTCTGCAGTCGCAGCTCGAGAAGGACCTCGACTGCACCATCACCTTTCAAACGCACAGCATCCTTCAGCGGTTCATGCTCCGTTTCGACCATCTCCAATTGGACTGCAACGATCACCTTTACATCTACGATGGCGCGCACGCGGTCAGCAGTTACAAGGTAAATCCCCGGCATTTCATTTCTCTATCGGTGTAACCGGCCAACATCCAATAATGGTTTACACCGACTTCGTAGTCGACATCCTGGCGGAAACGGACTGCAACTCTGATCTGCATTCAAATTGGTATATACCAAGGGTGGATGTAATATCGCCGCTTAGTCGAGAATTTGCATCCGGTCGAAACAGTTTTCGGCTTGGATGGCCCTCCCCTCCCCTCCCCTCCGTTCCGTCCACTAGTTATTGTTTGTTGTTCGTTTCGGTTACGAAATCTCGCCGATTTTCAAGGGAACTCGATACCGTGCTCCTCGAGTTTACTCCTGATTCCAAGTACAAATTCATGGTGTACGTAATCGTTTCATTCGAATGATAAAGTCACGTTCGTTTGAAAATTACCGTTAATGTTTTAGATTGAGGAATCAAAATCAATATTGATTTTTCACGAGTGTGGAAGATAAATGGAATGAAATGGAAAATAGCTCGACGACACGATACCTCGCGTAAAATTCTTTTTCATCTTTCGTATCATTTGGAAAAGTTTATCACGTACGTAATCGCCGCGCATAAAATCCTTATCTTCGAATTAAAGTAACAATATTTTCGAGTATTCTCAATTTCGAGAGAGACAAAGAAAGAGAGGAAACACATCGAAAACATTAGCTCGTGTAAATTCGATCGGCGCGTTCATCGATCGATTTTCTAATAACGACTAACGCGAAGAGGGGGATGAAACGAGGGATGGCTTTCTGCTCCCGATTAACCGTTTCCAACCGTAATTGCCGTTATCGATCAAAAGATGAAGCACTAATTGCACCGGGAACGACATTATTTTTCCATGATTATCGTCGAGGACAATGGCCCTTTCCCCCTCCCCTCTCGATAGGGGATTCCAGTTGTGAGGGCCATTTTAATGTATTCCTCTCATTATGGATTCGAAGCGTGGCCATCGGTGAGCAGAGACGGTGGAAACTTGCACCATTAATCAAGATTCGTCTCTCGGTAGAAGGGAGGTAGTATGCTTCGCTTCCCTTCGTCTCTTTTGTTCGCGATTTATCTTTCTCTCGATCGGCCGAGGTTTCGATCTCGAAATTATTCCTCGCGGATTTGTCGGCAACAACCGATTTATAATAACAAACAAAGAAACTTATCGAATCCTTTTCTTTGAAATTCATCTATCGTCACGTCTCGTGTTATTCAGATTTCATTTCTATTTTCATTCGCCGATCAGATTTTCGTCGACCGCGAAACCTTCGAAAATACGAACTTTATCGCGGTATTTCAATCCCAGGTATTTCAAACGTCTCGAATGTCGTTGAAATTTAGATCATTGTTCCAGATGCTTGGGATGTCTTTCACCGTAGATGCCGAAAATATCAGCTCATTCTACGTACGTTCCGTCTCGAAAAAGAAATATTAAAATCGTTTGCCCGATTAGTTTAGCCGAGAGAAATATATCACTCTTTCGAAACTCGCTCGAACTCGTGGTTTTATCAAACGTGGTTAACGTGAAATACAAGACGTTAATGAGCCTTCAACTTGAAAAATGAAGGAAAAATTCATCGAGCAGTTAAATATATAACGTTATATGATATATATAACGTTATATGATAACGTTTTTTTTTTTTCTTTCTTTTTTCATGGATTTCAAGTCTCGTAAATAATAAGATCTCGCGTTTATTTTACGAGCTCGTCATGCGATATCGCAATCCCTCACCGATTAAAGACACTTTAACGAGCAGTACCTTTAATGTCGTTTCCAGAGATCGACCCGATTATTCAAACGATTCTCATCATTTCACCGATTGGCTGAAATTATTATAATATATAGAAGTTAACTATTTTTTGAACATCATGGACAGACTCGAGCGTCCGTTTTTATCATCAGGCGAGGTAAATTGTGCGTATTTATTTTCACGGCTAATAGAAAGAAAGAGGGGCGTTTCTCACGGTTTTTTCCAACCATGAATGCCGCCACGTTGGCCTCGTCTCCGACGGTTTATGAAAAATAAACGTTAACGACGCACGTCGTGAAATATCTTTCCAACTTGAATTGAATCGCACTCTTCCCTCCCCCATTCCTTTCTATATCCGTGCATCTTTCTGCGTGTCGTCTAAGTAAAGCGCATATTTACGAAATTACGTGTATGGACGAGACGCACATACGAAAGAATTCTTATTTTTCGTGTCGCGTGTATTAAAGATTTTGCTGTTGAGGTTGTAGTAATAATTACGAGATCGAGCAACATATGATAAAAATCGTTTCAAAATTTTCGATATTTTGGATCGGTTCGTAATAATTTAAATATTAGCAAGCAACGCATGAAAAGTAGAATTTTATGAAAAAGAAGAAAAGGGATTCCTCGAATCCTGAAATTCTTACAAAATACCGTACTGGATGCAATTATAACAACTTTGAGAGAACTTACAAGTGAACTTTATCCTTATGAGAAAGTTTCCAACTTCGTGACCCATTTTCCCATTTTAGTGAAACCGCTAAAACAATTTCAATCGAAGATTTAATACTCCACGTATATATATATATCGCTAAATAAATCGAATATCGCGATAAATCTTTCAAAATTAAAAATTTATTCCAAAATTAATTCTTTCGATTTTTTTTTTGCTATCGAATATTAAATTTCGTTTGGAACGATATTAAGATAATATGTGCTCGTCGAGAAAGATATTACTTAAATCGAAAAGTTATACAAGATGCAGGAACGGATATCGAAACGGAAGAACAAGCCTGTTACAAAAGCGTAATTATTCCAGAAAGCGAATTTTTCCATAAAAAGCCTGTTACAGCTTTTACATTCTTCTTCATTTTTATTCATTATCTGGTTACTTTACCTTATACTTTACCTTATTAATCGTAACACACCGCGACACCTTTCTTTGTGGTTGATACACTCGTAAAGAATAAAAATAATGAAAACAAGATCAAGGCAACGAGTAAAGAAGCCCTTTGTCACAGACAAGATACGCGATCTCGTCGACTCTCTAAAAAGAGAAACCAATCTTCACGCAAAATATAGTCACGTATAATGAAATTATAAATAAGCTTCTTCGCATAAACCACTTTATACACGCATATCTATCACTGATGATCGAACGATTGACATATTAAAATGTGATTTGAATAAGAAAAAAGAAAATAATAATAATAATAATAATAATAATAATAACAACAACAACAACAACTTCAAACTTTTGAACCGTGGTTATATCACAGATTGGTACAACAACGAAACAGGAGAGAGGGCAAAGAGCAATGCAATTTTGCATAATGGCGGTTTAACTTTAATCTTTTTTACGGTCTACGTAATGGCCCGTTAAGCGTGGCCCTTTATTACCATCTCTGCCCTTTTTCTTTTTCACATTTTTTTTTTTTTTTTAACCACTCCCCTCTCTCTCTCTTTTCCACGTTTTTCGGCGAGAGACGCCTTAATTTCTCGATCGACGATCGAGGATCTCTTTTAGATAACGGAGAGGATCCCGAAAACGCGTGGAATGTTGCGACGAGTAAACGAGAAGGGGTTAGCGTGGTAATGCGGCCAATTGGATTTTCGTGGCGCGAGCTTTTTATTTCCGAAAGGAAACCGGAAACTGCGGTGATTTGCAGAATTTGCGTGGTGGAATTCGGAACGGATCCTGTTTCGATCGATCCTCTGTTATCTCGCAAAACGGAATTCCAGCATTCGCTCATTTTTCATCAATTTAAAAATTAAAACGTTCTCGAGCGAAAAAAAAAAAAAGAGTTGTGACAATCGATCCCTCTTCGTTTCTCTCCCTTTTTTCGTTGATTAATTAAGACGTTGAAATATATACGCGAACATATCCCTTCCAACGTCTGTTTACGATAGCCGTTGTTCAAACGTTCGCTTATCCCCTCACGGATATATCCTCCGACCCTACGGTGAATTACCCCAATTGTCTTGGAATTTCCCCTGTGGTTGACACTGGGTTTAACGCGCCCAGGACCAATTATTCTTCTCGATCGATCGTTGAAGGAATCCTTCGTTTCGAGAACTGTTGTATCTTTTTAAAATTCCCTTTATCCTTGTACGCGTGTAAGAGTAAAGAAGACGTCCAATTAAACGGGATTAATCGAAATGTTTCTCTGTAGGTAGAATCGCAACGACGAGGACGATAAACTATTGGGAGGAAAAATTGGGGCAAAAATACAAAGGGATGCTTCCCTTAAGAACGCCTGCGCGATGTTCAACGACATATCGACTTTTCGTGTGTTCCATCTTTCGTAGATAACGGAGACACGATAAACGACCGAAAATGGATCGCGTGATTATTTTTTCCCCGATCGACCCGCGCCACGCGCTCTATTTACATACGTATCGCGATAAGAGAGAGATATATCCTCTCCTCTTGCAAAAAACAAAAAGAAAAAAAAAAAGGAGAAAAGGAAGAAAAAAAAGAATAATGAACAAGTTCGTCGCTTCCGTTTGGAAAACGAGGCAGGGATAAAAATGGGGAGAAAAATCGAGATTAGAAGTATCGTGCCGAAAGAGCGCCGCGACGCGAAATTTCGTGTCGCGCGTTTTCGCGTCGGGCTTGAACGAAATCCGCTTGCGAGGAGGGACGTCGCCGCGGAGACAGCCGGATTTAGCAGCTATTTGGACGGCACAATGGGACATCATAGAGACGTTTCACGCGCGGTAATATCCTGGCTGTCACCATGACGACAGAGCTTGCGTAATGCCTGTGTTCTTGTTACGTGGAAAAATATGCCCGGCGCCCGTGATTTTCGTTCGGTTCGCCGAATTTTCTCACATTTCGTCTCCATTTCTCTCTCTTTTTTTTTTTTTTTTTTTTTTTTTTTTGGGAAGAGGGGGATAGGCTGCCTGCTCGATCGAAGCCTTTTTTCTGATATCTGATAAATTAGGAATGTGAAATGAATCGCAAGCGTGAAAATAATATCTGAGTTAAGGTTAAATTTCTACAATTATAAAATAGATAAGTTTAATAAGATAAGTTTCGATGTTGA